ACATGAATATTTTCTAACATCAGTGAGTGGAAATAAAGCATCACACAAAAATATAAAAAGGCTGAATACAGAGCTGGGAGCATAGCTCTGCAGTAGAAGGCCTGTTTGGCATGTGTGACGCCCGAGAAGAAGAAGGCTTAATACATTCTCAAATTTCAGAGAGTTAGAGGGCCAAAGAAGCTTTCAAATAATCTAACTCAGTCTCCTAATTTGGGAGTTAGGTAAGTTGAGACTAAGAGAGGCCAAATTATATGTCCAAATCTATGTAGATAATTAGTAAGAGGGCAGAGTTGAAATCTAATTGGTGTGACCTCTTGCTTTAAATACCAACAAAAATTTAACAAGTCTCCATGTTATGCCTTAAAAATGTACAGAAAACTCAGTTTAGAAATCCATTACGACTTTAAATTACATAGTCATAGAAAGGAATCTTGCTTTCATTTTTAATAGACATTACTATTTTAACTGAGGAAATGCCAAAAAGAATCTACCAGGGAAATGCCTGCTGCCCCTGGATTAATGAAGTGGATTTTTATAGCAGTGGTGGTGAGTCTCCTTCTCTAGGAAAGAGTTGATCAATTTTTTTTTTTACTTTCTTAATAATAAATTTAGATCAAGTCAGAACTATGCCAGTGTATATCACCTTTGCTTTTGGAATAGCAATTCATTTTTCAGTACACACAGACTTGCTTTACAATAAATGTTCTGTTCTGTTCTAATTCTGATCTTTTTAAGTACTGCCTTTTCCGTCCTGATCTCCATTTTAATTCACTGTACAACACAATCTCACACTTAACTTGGATTTGATACTAGGGATTAAAGGATTCCATCTAAATGTCTTTTCCAGACAAATGACATTTACCCTCATTCTCAAAGTTTAATAGTTTAATAGAAACCTTTCTAGACAGTGTCACGTACTTGTCAATCACCTTAAAAAGTGTTGACATTTTCCTTTATCTGCAGAGCTAAGTAACTGAGAGCAGAGATTTATAGTCAGGCAGCTTAGGTTTGTGTCCTGGCTCTGACTCTTACCAGCTGTGTGACCTGAGGACATTGCTTAATTTCTCTGTTTTTTCAGTTTCCTCATTTTGTAAAATGAGAACAATTTTAGTATAATCCTCTTAAAGTAGTCGTGAAGATTAAAAGTTAATATGTATAAGGCACTTGGGACAGAGTCTTGTAGGTAATAATTACTTGGTGTATATTTAGTTCAAGGTGTCTACAGCCTACACTGTGGAGAGAGTTGGGGGAGAGGAGCTATTAATTCATGGAACACACACAGCATTTACCAACTAGTGATAAGTGACAGAAAGGAAAAGTACTAAGTGCTATTAGAGTGTTAACAGGGGAACCAGATTTAGCCTGGCATTGTATTATAGAATTCTTTACATTTTAGTTTCTCCTACTGATGTGTGAATTTTTTGAAAGCAAGAATCATGTCTTAATCTTCCTTATGTAACTGTCAGTAAGCACAGTATCTGGCGCATAGCAGGGGCTCCAGACTGCTTTGGAAAGAGAGATTAAAGGAAAGAAAGAAAAAATTCTACAGGTATCACCAGGAGAATACAAAGATATTGGAGGCGAGCTTCCGTAGGGGGCAGAGAATTATGCTCCCTGGTGCCCCTGCCACCTGCAGAGGCGCAGCCCCTCCTGCTCAGGGGTCAGCACCCCAGTGGTTCCTGCATTGCAGCTTAATGAGGATGTATCCATTTATGCATTAAGGCTCATTCACTTTGTTCAAAGCAGTCCCTCAGGTCTTCCCGGAGGACTGGTTTGCTTATTTTATACAGGATTTTTAGAATACTGCTGACATGTTTGATAATCAGGGAGTCTTTGGAAGGGGGCTGCTTATCTTGGGGAAAGGCAGTGAGCTATGTTTGAAGGCAAGTTTTCTTCCCGAGAGAGCTGAGCTGTTTGAAAACAGGCTGCCTTCAGCCTTGCCTGGAATCCAGCATGAAGGAGAGAAACACAGGTGCAGTACTGAGGGGTATTGCTATTCTCTTGGCTTGAGAGGTGAATGGATCCCACCTGAAAGGAACTGATCACTTCAGACAGAAAGAGGAGAAATGGCCAGGACCTTACCCCAGTCACACTGTGGCAAAGCCTGAAGACCTCAGACCTGTTGCTCCCAGTCTGACACACACTACACCATCACAAATGGGGATTTGAAAAGTAGGAACCGACTCTTAAAAACATGAATAAATTAGGAAAGAGAAAGAAGAGACTGAATTATTTGAATCTCTAATTTTAAATTGTTTTAACCTAGATGAAAGCTACTTCAAGAAAATGTGATCAAAATATTTATGATAATAAAATACCTGCATACACTTGCATGTCATTTATTACTTGCAAGGCATCACTCTGAGAGTTTTCTATTTATAAATTCATTTAACTTCCATAACAACTTGATGACTGAGGTCCTATTATTATTCCTATTTTGTACTGGAAGAAAGAGGCATGAAGGCTTAGGTACCTTGCCCAAGGTCACACATTTAGCAGAATGAAGAGATAGAATAAAGATTTAGTTAAGTCTTATTAAAGGAAGGCTGGGTTATTATTGAATGCCTACCCTGTGCTAAATGCTTTGCATCTTTGTCAGGAAGTACTCCTTCACCTCTTTAATCTAGTCTCATTTGTAACCATGGGATGTGGAACTTTCAACATTATTCCATATGCTAAGAGGAGCAATTGGGATCAACCAGAGTCTTGTTTCCTTTGGGAAGCTCCATTTGCAATGTGCCAGAAATAGGATTGGTCACAGGCTCATAGTGGAAGGGCAGACCCTAACTTTGATTGAGACCCCAGGACAGAGGATAGAAAAGAAAAAGAAGATACATGGGAAAATACAAGGGCAAACGATGTGGATTGAAAGACAACCTGTTGGGAACAACAACCAAACAGTTTGCAGCATTCTCTGCATTGCAAGCATGCCTGCAACCCAACTATAAGGAAATTGGAGTCTTTCTGGTAAAGGTTGATATCTGCACTCCTTCCAGAAGCTGTATTGAATGAAGGCAATACTTCATCTCATTCAACTCCAAAATAGCCCTCTGAGCTAAGTATTATGTTTACACAAATAAGTAGTCTTGAGATCTAGATAGCATGCCCATTGTCAGACAGCTAGTGGAAGGCAGAGGAAAACTGAAGCCCACATCTGTGGTTTTGAAACCCATACACTATCACCGCAGATGACAGTTAAATTATCCCAACCCATGAATGCCCTCCCTTTCCTCATAGGTTAGCTGAGTTAAGGTGTTTTATGTGTCCAAGTTCTCTCACCTTTTTGTGTCTCTGCATTTGTGCCACTGTTCTCTAGAGGAGACCAGGAAAATCAGGAGACTTTGCCAAATGCAAGGAAGGTGAATGAAGGGCCATGCCAGGTGGAGTCATGAAGGAGCACAGGAGTGCCAGTGAGTTCCCAGGGGCCCTTTTCATCACTGAGCCTCTCAGTAACACACCGTCAATACCATCCCGAAATAGAAGGCATCAAATAGCCCAGCCCTTGGCTCTGCCTTACCACCGAGGTGAGCAACCCAGGAAGCATTAGCACATTTTGCTTCTCTAGGAATAAATAGAACTGCAACTGTGTCCTTGAGTGTGTTAAACAATGCTAACTAGAAGGAGGGGTCAGGAGAGAGGTACGTGTGGTGGTTTATGGGCAGGAGATGAGAGAAACCACAGGGCTCATTTGCTCCGCACTAATGGGTCTGAAGTGAGGAGTCTGGATGCCAAGGGCACTGCTGTCTTGAAATGAGAAGAACCGAGAACAAGGGAAGTCCATTAGTGTCATGTTTGTGTTTCTCCTCCTCTGATGCTGGATTCCAGGCTTACAGGGAGAAAAGACCAACACTTTCCATCCTCAAGAGCTTTGCCCATTAGTGTCAAATTATCCCAGTGGAGAGAAGGTAAAAAAAAAAAAAAAAAAAAGCAGCAGTGTAAACGGAAATTCAGAAGCCTATGTGGTTGCCTCTCTGCTCTGCAGTAGCTCGGATGTCTAAGGCCATGAGTTGATAACTGGGGCAGGGGCGTGTTCTTTCACCTTCCACACCTACGGACTTCAGCAGGGGATCGCCTTACCTATAGAAGGTCTCACTAACTGAAAAGTCATCAAAACTGCAACATGACCTATAAATCAAGAGCTTCACGTACCTTAGCTCTGAGCCATCATTAATTTCACCAAAATTGCATTAATCCAAAAAATAAAAAATAATGCCATAAAAATAATATCTAATATTTCTAAGGGCCAGTTATTGTTTTAAGTGCTTACAAGTTCTAACCCACTTAGCTCTTATAGTAGTACCAAAGGTAGTCATATTTCCACTTTTAAATAAGAATTGAGGCATAGTGTTGTTTTAGTCAGTTTTATTTTTCTTTCTTTTTTCGTTTTTTTTTTTTTGTGTGTGTGTGTGTATGTGTGTGTGTGTGTGTGTGTGTTGGAACTAAAACACCTGACAAGAAAAATTTTAGAAGATGAGAAGTTTATTTGGGAGCTTATGGTTTTAGAGGTCTCAGTCCATAGAAGGCTGCCTCCATTCTGCCCAAGAAGGGGCAGAACATCATGGTGGAAGAGTGTGGCAGAGGGAAATGGCTCACATATGATCAGGAAGGAGAGAGAGAGAGAGAGAGAGGGAGAGAGAGAGAGAGAGAGAGAGAAAGTCCACTTACTAGATAAAAATATACACCCCAAAGGCATGCTCCTAATAACCCACCTCTTCTAACTACACCCTAACTGCCTTTAGTTGCCACTCAGTTAATTCCTATTAAGGGATTAATTCACTGATTGGGTTAAGGCTCTCATAACCCAATCATTTCTCCTCTAAGCCTTCTTGCATTGTCTCACATATGAGCTTTTGGGGGATACTTCACATCTAAATCATAACAAGTGTTTTATCATCTATTGTTATATAACAAAACTACTGCAATACTAGTGACCTGAAACATAGTCATGGCAACTAGCTCACATTTTTGAGGGGGCAGACATTAGGATAGTGCACAGCAGAGGTAGCTCTGCTCTGCTTCGTGAAGTCTAGGATGGAAGCTGGGATGACTTGAATAGCTGGGGCCTGGTCAGGTACCTGTCTCTATATGGTTTCTCCATATAACTAGCTTGAGCTCTCTCATAGTATGGTGGCCTCAGGGTAGTTGGATTTCTTCCATAGTGCCCAGAACAAGTGTTTCAAGTATTCTGAGTAGTTAGTAGCTGCAAAGTTTCTTATGAATAGCCTCAGGAGTCCCAGGTGACTTCTGCTGCATACAAGTTCCTAAGATTAGCCAATATTTAAGGGGAAGAAAATTCAATTCTATCTCTGAACTGGGGGTTTACTAATAAATTTAGAGTCATTTTAAATCTGTCATAGTAAATAATCAAGTCATATAGTTGGTGAGCTGAAAAAAATCATTTTAAATCAGAAACTCTTAGCCATTAATTTATGTATTATTGAGACAAATCTAGTGGATGATACATATTCTGGTATTCACTTGTAATTCAGTGTTTAAAAATTCACATTTTATTCTAAAAGTGTAATATTTATTCCCTCTTTCCTTTTCTCAAATATTTGTTAAATACCAACTTTATGCCAGGCACTGTCCTGGGTGTTAGGGATAAAAAACAAACTAACCACTATCCCTGCTTTTATGTTTCATAGACTAATGAGAGGTGACAAACATGTACTTAATTATTCTTCAATAAGATAAACTCCACATAAGAACTAATATGCAAACTGAGTATAGAACACCTAACTCTAATTTAGGGGTCTGGGAAAGCTTTCCAAAGGAATGGAAATAAGGTCTGAATTATAACAGAGTATTAAGAGGAACTTTCCAGGTAACATGGATTTGTGTCTCACTAAAATTCTTATGTTAAAGCCCCAACCCCAATGTGACTGTTTTTGGAGATGGGGCCTTGAAGGAAATCAATAATGATAAATGAGTCATAGGTTGGGAACCTTTTTAATTAAGATTAATGTCCTTCTAAGAAGAGACACCAGAGAGTGTATGTTCTCTGATATGTAGGGACACAGCACAAAGGTGGTCTTCTCTAAGGTCAGAAAGAGAGTCCTCATCAAAAACTGAATGGGGGCTGGGATGTGGCTCAAGTGGTAGCGCTCGCCTGGCATGCGTGCGGCCTAGGTTCGATCCTCAGCACCACATACAAACAAAGATGTTGTGTCTGCTGAAAACTAAAAAATAATAAAATTTTCTAACAAAACAAAACAAAACAAAACCGAATGGGCTTCAACCAGATATTGGACTTCTAGCTTCCAGACCTGTGAGAAAATAAATTTGTTTAATCCATCCAGTTATGGCATTTTGTTATGAGAGCCCCATGCTAAGACAGTTAAGGAAGGGAAAGAGGAATATTCTAAAGAGAAGCACCAGTATACAGAAATGATAAGGGACATTAACCAAACCAAAAGGTCTGACAAGAACAACATAGAGGAGGAAACATTTATTTGGGGGCTCATGGTTTCAGAGGTCTCAGTTCATAGATGGTCTACTCCATTCTTTGGGGTTAAAGGTGAGGCAGAACATCATGGTGGAAGAGCATGGTGGAGGAAAGCAGCTCAGGATATCGTACCAGGAAGGAGAAAGAGGGATAGATATATATAGAGAGAAGTGGCAAAATATAAACACCAAAGGCACACCCCCAGTGACCTAGCTCCTGTAGCCACACCCTAACTGCCTACAGTTGTTAACACTCAGTTAATCCCTATCCATGGATCAATGCATTTTTAGGTTAAGGCTCTCATAACCCAATCCTTTCACCTCTAAACTTTCTTGCATTGTCTCACACATGAGCTTTTGGGGGACAACTCATAGTGAAACCATAACAGACATAAAGGAGCTCAGAATGTGCAAGAAGAGCTGCAGTGCATCAGGACTGGAGTAGTGTGTATTTCTAGGGGAACAGCGGGGAATAGACCAGAAAGATGCCTAAATGTGAGCTCTTGACCTCCTTGGATTTCTAAGTCAATTACCTCCAGGGCTGCTTGATCTCTGGATTTCTCTTTATGTGAGGTAAATTTCCATATTGTTTGAACAACCTTGACATAAGTTTTCTATTCTTTCTGTTCAAAGGTATTGAATTATTTAGGGTGAATTCTAACTGCATGTCACAGCAATCCCAAAATAATTTTGATTTAAGCAACATAGAAATTTAATTATCTCTCAATAAAAAAGTACAGATGTTGGCAGTCCAGGGCTTTCCCATGATGAAATAGCCTGGAGTTCGTTTATCATATTTTTGTACCATTCTCAATAGATGCCTTTGGGATCATATTAACAGGTCCACTTCTTAGGTCTGCATTTCTATCAGGAAGCCATGAGGATACATAGCTTGTATGTCTTCCCTTTTTACAGATCTAGAAAGCATACACTTCTACTTGTATGCCACTGGTTAGAACTTAATCACCTGAGGCATTTGTAGATGCTTGAAAGGCTGTCTTTACTTTGTTACCTGTATACTTCCAGGTAATAATCTTTGGGCTTTTACTACAAAAGAGGAGAAGGAAAAAATGAGAAATTATATCCCATCTGATTCAAATGTATGATATGTCAAGGTCATTGTACTGTCATGTGTAACTAATTAAAACAAATAAAAAATTTAAAAAAAAGAAGAGAAGGAATATTGAGGAATGCTTACCAGTCTATACTACCTGGAGAATCCCCAGAAATCATCTAGATAATGGTCTAGTTACTTGGGGGACAGTGAAGGGACATTGGAAATAGATCCCTAAAGAGGATTTTGTGGGCATACTTTGAGGTTAATTCTGGTGTAATAGGAATTTATTTTTTTTCTGTTTTAGTCAGCTTGAGAAGAACTGCTGTGACCAAAAGACCTGACAGAAACAATTAGAGGAGGAAAAGTTTATTTTGGGGCCATGGTTTCAGAGGTCTAGTCTATAACATGGAGGTAGAAGAGCTGGTGGAGAAAAGCAGCTCAGGACACACACCAAGAAGCTGTGGGGTGGGGTGGGGTGGAGAGAAGAGAGAGGAGAGAGAGAGAGTGAGGGTGAGGGAAAGGGAGGAAGAAAGCACTCCACTCACCAAGGACAAAATATATACTCCAAAGGCAAGCCCCAAAGACCCACCTCCTGAAGCCACATCCTACCTGCCTATAGTTAACACCCAGTAAATCCCTAGCAGGGGATTAATTCACTGATTAAGTTAATGCTTTCATAATCCAATCATTTCACTTCAACCTTCTTGCATTGTCTCACAGTGAGCTTCTGAGGGACAGTTAATATCTAAACTATAAGTTTCTGACATGCAACAAGTTCCAGGAACTATGTTTCCAAGGCTGCTTTTCTAGAGTTTTATCAATAAGGAAAAGAGAGAGAGAGTATTTTTGTCAGTGGCACATGCATCCTTGCTATTGTGTAGTCCTTCACAGTCTATACAGTGCTTCTATATCATGTAGCTCCCCGCAGCCCAGAAAGAATGAATGTCGTATTAAAGAGTCACTGAGATCCTTCCCACCAAAGTGATGCCTTGAGGCAGTGGGGCCTTTGGGAAGTGATTAGGTCATGAGGTTGAAGTTGTTTATGTAAAAGAGACCCTAGAGGGCTAGATCACTCTCTTCTCCATGTGATACAAGTCCATGAGGATGTGAGCTTTCGCCAGACATCAGGTCTGCGGTCACCTTGATCTTGGCCTTCCTAGGCTCATTTCTTTTATTTACAAGGTATACAATTTATGGCATTTTATTAGAAAAGCTTGAATATACTAAGACATGCATTTATTAGCAATTTCATATGTTGTTTCTCAGAATTTATGTTAAATATTCATTTTTTATCAATATTACCAAAGAGATGAGATCCCCAAACACTGTGCAAAATACTGACCACTCTTCACTGTGAGAATGATTGCAAGGTGTTTGATCTTCATCTGATTTCCTCATTTGGACACTATGGATGCAGAATTTATATTCTGTATTTGTTCTTATCTCCTTTCCTCCTCCCTCCATACTTGTTAACCTGCTTTTATTTCTCTGTGCTTGCTGCAAAAAAGGGATTCTTCTAGTGAGAACAGTTCTTTTCTGGCAGGAATCTAAATTTCTTCCCCATAAATCCATGACACTTCTGTGTAATACCATTAAGCATGCCCCCTGAGAGCTTGGGGTCAGTTCCTATTTACCACGTCTCTCTCCCAATACAGTGCTCTTAGATGTCCTTATCTTATTTTGGAATAGTCAGAAGCCACCATGCCTTGCTACATCATTCACTTGGTTCACTTCAGGATTTTGTCTAGATCATACAGTGAGTCCTAACCAGACAAGAGAGAAACAGAGATGCAATGAGAAAAGAGTTCAAGGGACTTGTCTGGTCTTCAGAAGAACCTCAGATCCTGATGGCTTCTGTGCCCACATCAGACAGTGTAAATCTTGAAAACTTCATCCCCCTGCTAACTTTAAGCTAGTTCTTGCAACTAAAAAAACCTACCTGATTTCTAACCATTATTTCTTTTTTTACTTAATTTGTTTCTTGCAACACTCAGGTTAGAGACCTTAGAAGACTTTAAAAGATATTCCACAGCTATTAAATAATGGACCTGAGACTGGAAACAGATTCGGAGTGATATAGGCACATGTTCATGTACAGCAATGCAATTCCCAATAGCTAAATTATGGAACCAGCCAGGTTCTATAACATGCCTGTCAACAGATTAATTGATTAAGAAATGTGAATATATATACAATGGAATTTTACTCAACCATAAAAAAGAATAAAATTATGGTATTCACCAGTAAATAGATGGAACTGGATAGCATCATGCTAAGTTAAATAAATCAGACTCTGAATGTCAAGGGTCAAATGTCTTCTCTCATATGTAGAAGCTGAACCAAAATAAGGGGAAAAAAGGGAGGGTTCCATTAAAACAGAAGAAAAATAAGTGAAGTAGAGGAAAGGGACAGAGGGAGAAGGACAAGGGACAAGAAGAGGGAGGAATAGTGAAATGAGACTGATTGTACATAGTATGTATCAATATAAATATACCACAGGGGATTTCACCTTTATGTATATCTATAAAGCATCCATTAAAAAAAAACTATAGAGCTGGGGATGTGGCTCA